GTGCACAAAACTGCCTTATTTCCATTCTTGTACTTATTTATGGCACATCTTCTCGATCTCTAAGTGCAAAGTAAAGGACCAAAAGGATTTCAGCTAACATATGCAGCAGAGATTGACAGACAGAGCTTGGTAGCCTTAGAAGGGGATTTCCTGAAATATCTCAGTAGATCAAACATCTATCCTACAAAGGAATCAAGGATAATGGTGCATGGGAGCACATTTCTATCTTATTATTATGCAAATACATTTAGAAATCCAAACTGCACATAAGCTTAGCTGCCACTTGCTCTTGTACAAAATGATAGTTGATACAGTGCTGATTTAAAATTAACAGTCAGGACTGTTTTAAAACTGAAATACAGWGTAACAGAAAGCCACTTTGAGACATAAGAGCAAGACCAAAGCTTGACAGAGCAGAAAACTTTCTTCTCCAAGGTGCTATAAGCTGTACAGTCAGAGTGGAAGGAATTGTGCCTTCTGTTTCTCACATGGGCTGGAGGGAAAGGGCATCAACAAAGAAACAGTGTTAGCATAGTATTTGAGATTAATAATTTGTTAACAAGAAAAACAAAAATAAAACTATTTGATTCTGTGCACCTCTGTTAAGCATTGATGAGGTTTGATACTAGCTGAGAATCCTCTTTAGCAGGCTGTTTTAAGTAAAAAGTAAGTTTGTTGAGTTAGTCCTTGCTTCAAGCAATGACAGATGTGAATCTTAATCATTTAGCCCATGACAAGTAGTCTTATACTCAGTGTTGGTTTCCATTCTAAAGTGGGAAGACAAAGCTTCTGGTTCAAAATGTTCAACAAGGTGAAGTGCCCTTGGGTCACAACAATTAAATTCTTTAATTTAAATGAAGCTTAAATTTTTCAGCCAACTATTTGTCTATCCCAAAGACACTCTTCTTTAGGTACAACATTTTTTTAAGAGGTACTCTATTCAAAACTTTAAAGATTTTAGAAACACATGAGTGTGTGTTTCTCACACACACTTCTCACAAAGAAAAAAAAGTCAATTTCAGGCTACTTTAAACAATATGACAATATCTTTTATTATGTGCTTATACTTAGGATCAACCTCTACCGTTGCCTTTCAGATGCTCTTTAGTGCAATGCATAGAAATAAAAATATGTTCTTGCAATTGATTTAGTCTAAGAAAGATGTTTTCTTGCAGACTGACCTTACTTTACATACAATTAGGCAATCTATATCTGTGGTCRTAGAGGACAAGGACACAAGAATATAAACAAAAAAACAATCAAATAGGGAAATCACAGATCAGGAATAAATACTTATTATTTCTGCCTTCATCCATGGTGAAAAGTCTTTATGGATATATTACTGTCTTCCTGATTTACCTCAGTGATCATTAGAGCTATGTATTAGAGATTCAGGCTTCTATGATTTGAAGATAAATATTTTAGAAGTTGTTTGTCTGCTAGAGTTCAAATACAACCTATGGATACTATAGGTGTCCAGAGGCTTTTTATATCTAATTGCAAGGTTGGTCTCTCTCTCTCTCTCTGTAAGCCATCTTATCACTCAGCAGGGTGCTTGGTTCAGGTGTAAAATGAYATCACAGGATAATTTAAATGTGAAAATACCCTCATAGGCTGTTGGTCTGATCCCTTCTCAAAGCAGAAGAAACTAGAGCAAGTTACTTGCTTAGCAGCTGGAATCTTGCCAAGTGTCCAAAAAGAACACTGTTGGAGAGCCCAACAGGCTGTCTGTGCACCTGGGCAGGAGTCAGACCAYGCTCACAGTGAAAACTTTTTGTCTTATATTCAAGTGAAATYCCCTTTTCTGTAACTTGTGAATAATGCCTATCTCTTACCTCTCCACCATGCACCATGGATGTTAACTTTCTACTCTGCATAGAACAAACCTGAGTTCCTCATGCTTTCCATGTATGTCACATGCTCCAGCTCCTTCAGGTGTCCCTCCCCTAGATTTGCTCTGATTTATTGGTATCACTGTTGGGCTGTTCAAAACTGGACATCAATATTCCAGTTAGAGTCCCATGAGTACAACTTCAAGCAATGAAAGGAAAGTAATCATTTCACTTAGTCTCGGATCACACCCTGAAGAGTGTMTCCTGCATGGCAAAGATGAGCACAGACTGAATTTACCGGCTCTCACTGGCACACTGATTGGAGTCCTGCAAGAAGTTTCTACTGCAGGACTGCCTGGATTATTACTGGAGAAGCAAAAACAGCCTGTTAACTCTTTCCTGTTATGCARGAGTGATGTTTCCTTACAGACCAGGAAATGGGCCAGTCTGCAATAGGGAATACATTATGGAGCATTCACTGAGTACTGGAACTGCACAATATTGCTCCTTAGCAGGGATTGCCCATCAACAAATGGCTCTGAAGCTTAGTTTCCATACCCTTGAAAAACTACAATGTGCATATTTTATCTTCCTCACAGCAAGACTGAAGTTTAGCAAGACATGATAGCTGCCTTTGGCTTTTATTAGTGAACAAAAGAATCGTTTTCTTGCTCTTTGATTGAAGATCTAATGTTTTTCAAGGCGCAGCCTGATCAGTTCTAGARAAGTGCATTGATTTAGGCAAAAAAACAAGCACCAAGAATGGGAAATTTCATAATTTTATTAGAAAACTGGAACTGCATCTGGGATATCTCAGCTAGCCACCCTAGAAAGTAAAGACTCTGGTGAACAAGTAGGGACTTCATGACAAGGCCCAAAGCAGGSTTTTTAAGATAAATATTTATTTACTTCATTAGCCTAAGGGTTATTTTTCCCAGTGGAAGAAAGGCCTTGGTCTGTCTAACAATGTCGGTGTAGTGTCAAACAACAAGTAGTACTACCCCCTTCTACCTCTGCAGGCCTTGAAATACTTCACATGAGAGAAGTCTTCAAGAGCCAGAGAATGACCAACAGAGATGAGATCTCTTTCTGCACACTAAAACCAAAATGATGGTTTCAAGCACATATGGTTTTATGACCAGATTATGCTGCTCTATGATTAATGTCTTTCACATCCTGGCACATAGAATATTTGTGTACAAACTACCAAGGTACTGAGCAGACCACTGGCTGTGATCTAATCTTAAAACTAGTCATAATAAAAGATCCTGCCAAAAGATGAACAAACAGAAGACAGTACAACATGTCAAACACTGACATCAGGCCTACTCAGAGCATGCCAAATGTGGAAGCTTGAGCTCCCATGGTAGATTTTTGGGGAAGAATGGTGTTGCCAATCACAAGCAAATAAGCAGGCTGTGGCCAGAACTTGAGCTCCACAGGAAACATGTTCTTCTGTAAGCTACATCTTCTCAGTCTTTTATGCCAGCACAGTATAGTAGGAAAGGAAGCACTTCTCAGGGGAAACTGAGGACATGATTCATTCTGGCAGCACTTCAGCTCTCCCCCATGCCTCCTCCAAGGGCCRTGAAAGCTGTGTGGGCTCGCTGGGTAGCACAAGAGGGGCTGCAAGGAGAGCTCAAGTCACCTGTGAGGGTGAGTAAGGGCAGGGACTAGCAGGAAGCAGGAAAGATCCTGGGTAGGGAGCTGCAATCCCTGTCCCAGCTGTGGAGGGCTCTGTTCCCTGCCCAGATGTAGGGGGAGCAGAAAGAGATTTCAGGGTCATGTTAGGTATTTGTGGACAGCACCTTCCAGCTGATCCAATTGGTGACTGCTCTTCCTGGCTATGGCAAGAACTGGATGGGATGGTTCTGGCAGGAGGGGCCCTTGAGCTCCCCATGGATCTGGGCTTGGACCCCAGTTCCATCCTCTGTGTTCCAGCCCTTCAAAGCTGAGAAATTACATCAGACCTTTAATCAGAAACCTAACCATTCAAACCCTAAACTTCCTAACAGCTGCACAGGTAACTGCATCATTCTCTATATTCTGGCTGTTACAAGACCAGCAGGGCAGGGGGTAGAAAGCCTTTTGTGCAGAGCCATGTCTGGCCGTGCTGCCATAGTTCTGTGCAGAGCTCATGCCAGCAGCTCTGCCTGCTGATGCCASCTGAGCCTGTGGGGATGGCTGGACAGCTTCGGGCATCTCCAAACTCATGGGACACCTCTTGCTGCAAGCACTTTTGCTGGCCTCAAAGTGGAAATACGAAATCCATGTTATCACACACGTAGGCTCAAGAGGTTTTATTCAGTCCCTAGTGTCTGCAGTGCACTGGGGGAAAGGATGCTTGCACACAGGAGCAGCTGTCCAGGCATGCAGTGTGGTAGGAAACGTCACCAAAAGCCCCTTGACCCTTGGTGTTTTTGTTGAAGGCAGAGCAGAGGGGCAGAGCACAGAGCTATGGGAGCTCCCGAGAAAGTCTCCCTTGGAGATGTCCACAAATACTCTCCTAGACATGAGCTGCCATAATTTTCCTGCTCGTGTGTTGGTGGCCAGATTTTTGGGACTGAGGTGCCTCTTTGGCTGGTTGACTTCCCAGCTTCACAGCAATTCTCAGGAGCTACAGGTGCATCCTGTCATTGTGGCTGCCTTTCATGGTATCATCTGAGGCCACTTCCAYAGTCAAGTGTCCCAAGCCAGCTCCGTCATAGGAGACTGATGGGACATGAGCCTTAGGGAATAGCTACTGTCCCTCTACTCCACGCAAATGCTTTAWAAACATAACTTCTGAAGTCTAGATGTAAGACTTTCTAGAAGCAAAGGAAGGAGCAGTAGATAGTGAAGAAAAGCAAGGAATTGTGAATGAAATCTTGTCAGAAGGGAAGTAAGTGCATTGCTCTGTTTGAGAAGGTGGGTCAGAGGTCAGTGTGGGTTTTCTGGCCAGGTGAGATCCCCCTACTTGCTCCCCATCATTTCTCCCTTGTAGATGGGRTATCCCACACAGTCCCTGTAGTAGTGGGTGAGGAGGATGTCTGTTATGGGTTCTGRAGTATGGCCATGCACAAAAAAAAMCTGAAACGCAATTGTGATTGCAAAGCAAATCTATTTTATTAGCTGCTGTAGCAAATAATACATACTGACCCCTGGATTCTTGAAAAGTTGTTAAGCAGGAGAAGGAGCATGGTGCACAGGTAGGTAGGGCAGGTATGCAGTGTAACTTCAGGGTGTCCCCTGGATCGAAATGGCATGCATTTTGTCYTTCTCATCCCTCCACTCCAGAACCAGGCCTTATATCACCTCCTCTGGAGTGGAATTTTTCCAGTTTCAATGTCACCTCACGCACAGCCAGTGAGTAAGATGAGGCCATAACAACTCCTGATACCACCCCCATGCCAACAGCAACTACACTGTGTATTATTCCTCTTCCACAGGTTAATTTTCTACCTATCTATTGACCAATACATTGTTTCTCCTAAGGGTCAAGTTCCTACCAGTTAAACAAYAAGGTTTTCTCCATTGTCTGTTCATTATTATCTGGTCAATGTGCACATCAGTGTACCAAATATGGCAGGGCCTTAGACACGACTTCAGTCCCTGACACATGCCACCGCATAGTCTGAGTTTGGAATACGTCGATATTCCACCATGCGAACAACACGACGATGCAGCATGCTATCTATTAAAAATCGGAATAATGATACTAAGCAAGCAATAAAACAAAGCATACACAGAAACACAATACCTAAGACACAAAGTAATATTAATCCCTTTTTCAACCAATTCCAATCCTGTATCCCTCCCGCAAATGGATTCCAACTCATGTCTTCTGCACGGTGTTGAGTAAGTGCCTGTAATTCCCGTATCTGTGCGTAGACAGACCTAGAATGGTCACTTAAGTTCATACAACATAATTGGTCAAAATCTTTGCATCCATGTCCATTTGCTAAAACCAAAAAATCAATTGCTGCTTGATTTTGTAACAGAGTGTGTCTGATATTGTCTGCATCAAACAACAAATCAGATATAGCTATGCTGGTAGCATTACTAATCTTGGCTAATGAACAGCCAAGTTTATTTAGGCTTGTGAGTGCTCGTGCACTTGCAACCCCGGGAGACAATTGAAAGGCACTGATTATCTTGGCAGCATTCCAGAACTCAACAGTATCTCTGCAGTCAGGAGGAAAAGCGTGTACGTTCCGTGTATGACGCCGCCGAATTCGGTTTTGTTGGATCCATGCTGCAACAGTTGTATTTGGAGATAAGAGGGTTAGTTTTCCCAGAGTACACGGTCCACCTTTAATCGCCATTGGCACTCCCGCCCATGCTCGGTCCCCACAAATTAAAAAGATACCTCGTGGGAGTTGTATATTTGTACTAAAACTCTGGGTTAGTTGGGCTGTGGTTGAATTACACCAGTGTGAAGCATTTTGATACCATGGTACTGAGGCATTAACCCACCAAGCTACAGGGCTATTCCCCGTGCTAATAAATTTAAAGTTAGTACAACTATCTGCATTCAAGGTGCCTAAAATGTCCAGCTCCTGGGGGGGTAGAGCATAGGATTTCCCGAGGTGAGGCAGTTGTTGCCACACTCCRGTAGCCATGCAGGCTGCAGGCGCAGGGGTGCTGTTGCACAACTGTTGCAGCTCACGGGCGGTGAGAGGAACGCCGACCAGACATGTTGTGAATGGATTCTGGGACAGAGTACTGCTGAAGCATAAAGTGTCCTGTCCCGTTGCCTTAGCCAGGGTCACCCAGATGTTTTGTTCCAGAAGGGTAGGAGTCTGAGGTACCCTGTTAAAACATAAACAGAAGAACTGTTACCTCCCCCTTCCTCCCACTCCTACCGGTTACTCCTGCTGACCTGAGTGTTGAGAAGGAACTCAGTGCCAGTGCCATTCCTCTGGAATACCCACAGCAACTGCCTCATTGGTTTCTGCAGGCAAACACCATCATCAACTCAGTAGCGATAGGACCACATTCCGTAGAAGATTGATACCACACCTTGGCACTTGAAAATTAGAACTGCGTGGGACTTTGAATTGATAGGGAGTGCATAATTCAGAAGAAAGTTGATTCAATAGTTTTGCTAGGGAATGTATGAGTAAAACAAGTGGTGTTCCGAATGCCTGAAGTGAATGGCCCTTAATTTTCCCATTGTTTAAAACAGTGAAACTACAGAATAATTCYTCTGAAACTAAGGTAATGTAAAAACAAACAAATTAATTTAAAAACAAACTAATATACCTCTAAAAACTTTTCTGCTTTCATCCTTCCCTATACAAAGAGGCTTTTCATTAGGAGGATTTTAGTTTTATCCAAAGTCATTCAGCCTATATGCACCTAAATCATCCCACAATGATAAGCAAAATACAGTCAGTAGGGACAATARGGAGTGTTGTTTCAATATTGACATACACTGTGAAAGAGAGGAAAGATAACTTCCAGAACAATAGTTTTATTCAACAATGGTGAAAAATATGAACTAAGTTTTGTTTTAAATTAATAGTGAAGGCAGCTCAGTATAATGTTACAAATCTTTATGTTTCTTGTGCTGCTCCAAGCCTTATCTTCTTTGTGGTTAGGTTTATGATCAAGACTATGAAAGCAGTAAAGGTCATGATTTTCAGACCTGATGAAACCCAGTGATTTACTTTGGAAGAACTAACTACTCAAGAAAACTGCTGTAGGAGCTGGGATTCTGCTTTCACCATATCTTTCAGCAGAAGAATTGCATCACACCAGGACCTCAGTGGACATGCTTACACTGTGCTTAGCTCCTTGACAATCTCCCAGGTACAGGTTACCTGGCTACCTTGCTCTCCAGTTTTCCTTCGAAGGAAATCAACTAGCTCTGTTCACATCAAAGCACGAGGGCAGCTCTGTAGATAGCTCACTAGCAGCTCTTCCCAAAAGGTAGTATAGACCAGTCTACATTCTGTAGGTTCTGCTTAGTGTAGTTCTCCATCATTCTGCAAACAAACTCACTTCTTTTTCTTTTCTGTCATGCCCCAGAATATACAGCACATACCTTAAGATTCATATAATGAAATCTCCATRGAAGACTGGAACACAAGTTACATGTTACACTTTGATTGGTTTTGTAAAAACATAAAAAATAGCAACTTGTAAAGCCACTCTATGCTGTGAGTGTTCAACACTACAAATTCCCTTGCTACTAAAGCAGGAGTGAAAACAAAATAAACTAATACCTGCTTGTAACAAATCATGAATAGTTGCTCAGATTTCTGCATCTCCTCTTGGAATTTTAACTCTGGCATGTAGCTACTGCCTGGTATCAAAAGCCTTGATAGGTAGATTTTTTCCATTCCCAGCACTTCTCCAGGGYGGTCCACTCCTCAAAGTTACTTAGCTGCTGCATTTTTTTAGCTATCTCATCCAGAAAATTCATTGATCAAAAGGGTCATTATCACAAYTTTATACGCTGGGTATGTAGTCTTTATCAGTCTATTCCTTCTAGTAACAGACAGAGATTTCACCTCAGAGCATCAACATCCCAWATAATTCATCCCTTCTTTCTGCATWCATTCGCTGTATACAATCTTACAAGGTATACCACAGTGACTCAGACTCTGGTTCATTATTTTCTGTGGGGTATTTAATCCATATCCCTGATTAGCCAAGTAGAGCAAATTAGGGCATTAGTTCTAAGTGCATTCTACACAAAAAAAATCAGACTTAGCATCAATTTTTTTTCTGAATCTCCTGCATCTGAGGTTACAAATGAGAGTTTGAGACCACTTTAAAAATCATGAGCAAGAGTATCAGCAAAAGCCAGATTTAATATTAAGYGACAACACRATSAAGTTTGTTGGCAAGATTAACTCTACTACTTACAGAACATTTATGGCATACCAAGGAAAAACAAGCACCAACAAAGACGAATAAAAGCCAGGCAATCAAAGCAGAAATGAACCAGGATCTATTTCTGTGCATGTGCAACAAAAGAACAAYGAGGCAAGGATAGCGAGGAATTTGGCCTAAAAGTTTAACAGCATGCGACAGTACTTTAACCTAACTTGTATCTTAARCCTAAAAATCTAACAAAAATACAACTCTTATAATTTAAGACTTAACCTTACTTACAGGCCTAACTTACTGAGATTTCRGATTGCAGTGCAGCAGCAGTAACCACAAATGCCTGGTTTTGAAGTATGTCCTTGTCTTGACTGTTTTTCAAGCTCTGTATTCTTCCCAACTGCAACTTTGTATGCAAATAATAGATATCCTGCCATGTGTCCAGTATGAATAAGCTGCTCTTTAGAACATGTCTGAAGACTTTGCACAAATTCTCCCCAATATTTCAACCCCTCYATGGGGTCTTGAGCCTCCCATGGTTCGGGCTCAAGCTTGTGTAAGTTTCTAGCTGCCCCACAATGTGCTCCACAGTTCCTGTTTCTGCTCTGGTCGCTCCACTGGCAGAGCCACAGCCCAAGGTTCCTTCTCACAGAATATCTCTAACAATGCACTGGGAAGTGGTCGTGGCAGCAGAAATAGCAAGCACAAACAAACACTGTTCTACAGGTATCATCCAGCAACACCACAAACAGAAAGGACTAAACAGTTTTGCTAAATGAATCTTAAAAGTACTTTAGCTATGTTTACAATATCCATACCATGCCACAAGTGTTTGACAGCTATTACACTTCACATACAGAAAAACACAACTAAGTTTCCCACACACAGCTGGGTACCCGGACTAAATCTTGACTCTCYGTATGCCATACACATACAGAACAGCATATCTCAGTGCAGTTACATGTTCCACTCTCTTATTTGCACTAAGTTGCAGATGACAGAACAGCTTCTCTGGGTGCAGCTCTGTGCCCCACTGACCAGGCTGTTCTTACCTCACACACACGGAACAGCATCTCTTGGTGCAGTTACGCACAMACACTCTTGGTGCAGCCACACACCCCACACTCCCCAAGCCCTGTCTGTGTTTACATCAGTTTCTTACTCACACTCAAACCTGCATTAGCTTTGCACTCACACACACTCAAAACAGCATCAGTTTTTGTGCTCTGGGCATCCCATTTTTGTCACCAATAATGTTATGGGTTCTGGAGGATGCCTGTGCACAAAAAAACTGAAATGCAATTGGGATTGCAAAGCAAATCTATTTTATTAGCTGCTGTAGCAAATAATACATACTGACCCCTGGATCCTTGAAAAGCTGCTGAGCAGGAGAAGGAGATGGAGCATGGTGCACAGGTGGGAAGAGCAGGTATGCAGTGTAACTTCAGGGTGAACCCTGGATCGAAATGGCATGCATTTTGTCCTTCTCATCCCTCCACCCCAGAGCCAGGCCTTATATAGCCTCCTCTGGAGTGGAATTTTTCCAGTTTCAATGTCACTTCACGCTGTAAGATGAGGCTATATTAGCTCTTGATACCACCCCCATGCYAACAACAGCTCCATTGTGTATTATTCCTCTTCCACAGGTTAATTTCCTATCTATTGACCAATACATTGTTTCTCTTGACAGTCAAGTTCCCACCAGTTAAACAATAAGGTTTTCTTCATTGTCTGTTCTTCATTATCTGGTCAACAAGCACAGCAGAGGACCAAATATGACAGGGCTTTAGACTCARTTTCAGTCCCTGATACAACTTCTTACCACGGAATGGTCTTGCAATGGAAAAGTCTGGGAGAGGGGGATGCACAGTAGCAGACTCACAAAGCACCTGCATATCCTCCTGCAACATTGTGCAAATACCACACCTCTGTGAGTCAGTCCTGGTAGAGGTTTGCTCACGCAGCTCACGGTGATGGTGGCTTTTTGCCCCTGCCTGGGAGGTGTCTTAAGTCATTTATTCCCCACTTCAGGGGCAGCATATTTCCTTCCTAAACAAAGAGTTTAGTAGATACCATAGCTGGCACACCAGAAAAGTTGGGATGTACTCTTAGGGTGAAAGTCCAACTAGAACTGTGGCAATCACACCATGTATAGGGAGCTTTTATATATAACCACTGAAGAAATTAGAAATTTTTTTACCTTAAAAAAAAAAAAAAAAGAGAGCAAATCAGAAGGGTTCTTAGAACTGTGCTATACCACAGTGCTTAAAAGATTGTATGAATCAAATTGACCAGCTCCATAACTTCACAGGAATGAACCAAACTATGCACTAAATCTTGGAACTGAGGTCTTCATTAGCTGATATTGTTGTCAATGTCAGTGTCTTTTAAAGCCACCTCTCAATACCCTTCCCAATCAGAAAAAACAATCAGCTTTTATATGTGAAATAACACTACTGATCTTGCAACACTATTGCATAATCATATACGGTGATAAAAAATGTCCTGACTTAAAGATTCAATTCTTTAAAAGGTATGATGAAAATATATATAGCATGTATAGCAGTTTTACACCACATTTTCAGACATGCCTAAGAACAGACATTTTATTCAAATAGAGGAACGGTTTCAATARAGAATGAACAGAGCTGAAAGCAGAAAGACTGCTGTGGAAAATAGTTCAAAACAGAGATACTGAAAGGGAAGAGATAGTCTCTGAACCAAGAAGAAAAACAGTTGAGATGCACTTTCCTAACTATGCAAGTGATATTTTTTTCTGTAAGAAAACAAGACAGTAAAACTGGTAGAAAAGTGGCAAGTTAGGAAAACAAGATGACAACCAATAGTACTGCACACTGGGAGAGCACACAGCCATCAAGCCTATCTTTATATAGCTGCAGTGTTTGAGCATTGTATTTAGTTTTAATGCATTATTATCATAATAGTCACCTAAATTCTGGTAATACTTTGATAGTATGTCCTACAATTAATTATCTTCTGGTATTTTCTCATCACAAAAAAAATAGGGGGATGACTCAGTGATGCCGTTACTCCAATGACGAAGATTGTCTGAGAAATTCCTGCCTCCCTGCCCCTCCTGGCCTGCTGCTTGCACTCTCTGCCATGCAGCTGTCTTGGGGCTTAAGAAATTACCCTGGTTAACAATCAACCATTTTTTCCCATCTGAGACCCAGGTGATTCCAGAAGCAAATCTGTTTTCCCTGATTTTTTATGTGTTTACACTTTGCCCCATGACTGCAGTGTCTGAACGCCATGTCATTTGACAAGCCTGACTTAAGTTTCATCTTGCCAGAATTAAGGGACGGAACTCACCATCCATTGTATCTATGATAAGGAAATCAAAGAGGGGGGAGAGGGGTGTTATTCCCCGTTAATGGATAGTCACACAGGATGGCCCATGRGGCATCAACAGAGCACAAACAATAAACACTAACAAAAAGAACATCAGCTCTTACTCAGCTTTGCCACAAGAAAAGAGGAAGTGGAGTCAAATGGCTACCTTGTCTGCTTAAAAAATACAGCTCTCAGGCTTAGGGTATGGTATGCATGAGCTATAATTTTAGCTAATGCTGAAGACAATGCTTAAATTATCCCGCTGCCCTACTTCTCTCTCCATTTTTCTGTGCTTGCTGCTCCTCTTTCAACACTATTGGTGCTTGTTTGACCAGCTTGATCACAGAGTTAAGCTGGCCTAAAACCAGCCCTATCACATAAGTGTATGGTTTTATCCTTGTTTGGCTTCCTAAACTGACTCATCTCACTGCTTCAGGCCCTCAGGGTGTCCCAGTTTTTCTGCACTGTTTATTCCTCCAAACATGRCAGCAGTACCCTATCTCAGATATCAGAAAGCATCACCATTAGCCAAGAGGTGTGTGAACCAGCAAACACTGGTTTAATTTGTCTGAGTTTGCTACCATTTGATCTGAGAGTAATAACTTTAAGGGCAGCTATATGATAATGAGGAAGTGTTTTGTGTAATGATTGGGCACAGAGCTTCTGAGGACACAGGACAGAAACTGAATTCCTGTAAGTTCAGAGAAACGTACTCAGCAATCTCTGCATCAAACCTGTATTTCCTTGAGCATTTCTACATTTCTTTTCAACAAGCCTCCAATTCTGGAGATAAAGCATTTCTGAGCAAAAAGTGATTTCCAGTGATTAATTTGCTTTATTGTTAAAAATTCGTGCCTTACTTCAAACCTGAATTGGACTTAGTTTTGACTTCCAGCCAGTGGATCTTCTTGTACTGTTAGTCCCTTGACAGTGGTGTCTATTCTGTACAACTGTGAAAATAGCACAGAAAAAGCACTTTTTGAACCTGTTATTTCACTGTTATCAGTCTCAAATATTGCTGAGAAGATGTACATTCCATAAATCTCCATATTGCCTCCTTCACTTCTTCCTAAGGTCTCCCTGAGAGATGTCAGGGAAGACACCTTAAGTGAACCCATGGAATTTGTTGCTCTGCTCAGTTCACATAGTCATATCACCCAAATCCTAGAATGGTTTTGCTTTTCTGAGAACAACATGCTCAACTGCAAATGTATTAAGTGAGGATAGGTGGTAGGCTGTGGGAAGGGGTTTAGCCATGATCTGAAGTGCTGGGCAATGRCCATAGCTAAACAAGTGACATCAGGTGGTTGTGACCACAGGGTAGGAGTGATACCAAGATGTCTGCTCTTGGATGCTCAAATGGTCCATCAACCTCATCAGCAGATTTATAATCTGGGATGATTTTTCTATAGTTTCACTGGAAGGACCAGCTGGTCTTAAATTTTTTTTTTTTTTTTTTTTTNTTTTTTTTTTTTTTTTTTTTTTGCAGGTGGAAGGTAATGTTCTATTGGAGCATCTGGGCATATGTCATCAAAGCAATTCCCTTACAAGATCAGGGAGCCTTCACTGCATGTTGAAAACACAGGAATAATGGAGTCCAGGCTTGCAACGGCACCCCTGTAAACCACCCAGGCTGGTGGTAAAGGCAACTCTGTTACAATCTCRTGTATTGTGAGGGCAAGCGGGCACACTTATGGATGCCTTCAAAACTTTTTTCTCATAGCATTAAACGTCCATGCACAAAGCCAACCCACTCACAAAAAGACATTTGTGACATTCAGTGAGAGAACCCCACAGGAAAACCAGAAAGAAATCCTGTCAAGTGCAATTTTTTTAGGTCTAATATCAGTGAGACTTCAGAAATTATTTTGCCCTTAGTGTAATGTGTATAAAACAGCCACTAACTTGGCTCAGTGGGACCAGACTACCCCAAAACCTCAGCATCCTTACACATAGGACARTCCCCAACAGGACAGTAACATCATCCCCAACCAGGTATGAGGCTGCACAGTGCACGTGTTGCAACTCTGCATGAATGCATGATAACTAATACAATATCTAATAAAATTTTATGGAATATAGTAATGAAGGCATAATSGATGTGCCCGAAATTTCCTACAAAAGAAAATCTTGGCTTTCCTGGCTTTCATGTTAGGCATGAATTAGTTCTGAAATAACCTTCACCATTTTAAATAAAGTTGTGTGCTACAAGCTTTAGTAAGTTTCTAAGATATTCCCAGGATTTAGTCACATGAAAAAAACAGCTGCCCTGTACAGCTGCATGCATGTGTTTTCTCACAGCCAGCTTTGCTGAGCCTCCTTTTGTGTGTTGCTCACTAGCAGCAGCAGCTGGGAAGACAATCCTTGCAGGTTTGTTAAGACAGTGAGCAAATTTCACACTCTGAAYTTTCCAGGCCATTAACCTCCAGCTGTCTTAGCTCAGTGGGACATTTTCTATTACAAAAAAAACTCATCACACTCACCAACAGGACAAACCTGACTTATGGCTGTCCAGCAACATTGWCCCTAAAGAGGTTTGAGGCTGTATAAAATATGTGCTGCAACAAGGACAAATGTGCTTCACAGCTCAGTATTAGCAGGGAAGCTGCCCTATCCTGCCCTCTTGCCTTCCAACTTCATCCTTTTACAGCAAGGAAAGAAATGATTCAGTGAAGAAGGGGCTAAGCCCAAATCCAGTTATCTGTTTCCCCTGGTGACCTCTGTAACCTTTCATATTTATAGCTACTTTTCACAGTCCTTTAGAGAAGAGGAATGGGTAAACACTCTGCAAGCCAATCATGGCATATATGTACAGTCCATGACACAACTAAACTGACTACTCCAGGCATGCTGACGGCACACTCAGCTGGCAAAACTGTGAAACAGTGCCAGCACTCTCTGTGAACTGCTCTTTGGTCTGCTCTTACACATTGCACTGGAAAGCCATGCTGTCARTATGCAGTGGATGTTCAGTGAGTGGAGGTCAAAGTATGATACTTCTGCATGAAGGAGACCAGGCACAAAGTAAGCTCAATCATACTTCTGCATTCAAGAGCTGTTCMACTGAGGATTATTGGTTGCTAAAGGTTTAACTCTGCTACAATGCCAGAAAAAGCCCTCTCAGCCTTAAAGTTCCTAATATTGATTCCTGTGACATACTCCGTAGCATTCTGACTTCTGGACATTCCTTTTTGGTATCAGGTCTTTCAAAATGTATCATGCATGTTTTAGTATCATAGATGGGGATTTCATAGGTGGGTACTTCAGATTTACTGATTACTTCTCAGTTTTGTCAGTCACATTTTCTAAAACTCCTTTCTTTTCCTGATTTAGACAGTGCCTCCTTAAAATTGAAACATCTCCTTGCTGGATACATTTCCAAGATTAGCCAGTCCTGCTAACTCCTGTCAGTGTTCTTTTGGACTGCCCATGGACTGCAACAGCATTCAGCAAGAATTTGTGAGACACAACCTG